TGAGGAAGAACAGAAGAATTGCAACGAACAGGGAAACCAACTCCTTTGGAGTGTCAATCTCAACATCTAAAAAAATAGAAGTTGCATGATACACAAACGGTGTCCAACACCAACTGGGATGTGGCAAATACCTTGCAAAAATAATGTTAGCCTCCTCCCTCCGTGAGCTCTGCCTGAGTTTTAAGTCGATTTCGACCACTTGCACTTCAGTTTGCAGCCGGCACCACCTTCTCACTGGGGTTGCAACCAACTGTAAGCCTTATATAGGTATTTTTGGAACAAACACCTTCAAGAGTTCTGCTCCCCAAAAGTCACTCCGGGCGTCGTCCACTCTTCCAACCTCCTTCGCCCCACGGACGAAACACAGCAGCTCGGAGAGCACGCCCCCAGAGCGCACTGCACTGCAGACTCTTCAGACCTCCAAGGCACTGCTCCTCTTCTCCCAACTTCGCCACGTTGACCACACCACCACTGCCCTCACTGGTGCTCTCGACATCTTCTTCTGAGTCCTCCTCCATCGCACAAGAACTCCGAGTACGGAGAACTCCAGATGCGACCGACACGCAGCGCACGCAGCTTAGTCGCGGAAAGGGTAACTATAAAGTCCCGACGGTTATAGCCTACTATCGTAAGGCATCTGGAGGTTGCAATTTGCTGTAACAGCAGCATAAGTCAAGAGTGGGGTAAAGGATGAAGCATCTCGGTCGACTCTTGTGAAAGAGTGGTCTTTATGTCTGCTAGCTGCCTTCAGTTCGCTCGCCGCTCGAGTTTTCCAGTGGAGCCATCCCGCAAGGCCAACAAAACAATGTCTCAATCTCTGAAGTAGCCTATCCTCACCACTCTCGCCGTGAGGACAGAGGACGCCTTGTCCGGGTCCTGCGAGTCTTTAAAGTTTATCCAAAGTCCTATGGTCAGACACTGGTGAATATGTTCTATATATATATATATTTGTTGTTATTTTTATGTGTGTGTACATCAGGCATTCCAGACTTCTACCCTGTTGCGCAAATTCCCCCACAATGGACATAGGAGGCAAAGGAGGCTCAGGTATCCAACTTTCAAAAAGCAGTGATCAAGCATATTATCTATCCCACCAATGGCCCCACCGACAACCCCGCGCCGCTCCTCAGGCGGAACACCTTTGATCTCCTCATACAGGGAGGTGGCCTTGGTCGGTGGGCGGAAAAAACAAGTCAACCACCCGAAGGCTGGTGAGTAGTCATTCAGGATCGTACGTGATGTGTGTGGGGACTTGCCTCAACACAACATCAAACTCTTTGCCCACAAAGCAGCGTCTCCTCAAAACAGCATCTACATCTTCAGTCCTGCTCAAGAGAGGAACACCCCCCCATCCCTCACATGCCCTCCAAACCACTTGCATCATCGTGCATCCACGCCACCACCCAAACACCGACGGCATCCACCACTCCCTTTGCCCAGTCGCAAGGGGGCACATTAAGGAGGCTGTGGCCGTGTTGGACATGAAGGCGGACAGGAGCGCGGAGATGCACATCATCGCCAGCAACACCAACTGCGCGCCCAGTCGAGTGAAGACATCTACCACCAATGTAGTGGGGGGTCTTTTGTTGGCAACAGGCTGAAGGCTATAGTTGGGATCAAGGTTCTGGTTTGCGTGTCTGTCTATCAAGGGTCCTGGGCTGGTGCAAGTTCACGGTCGTTCTTTCCAAACGTCGAAAGATCGCGCAAATCGGAGACATCTGCCTTCATCCAATGAGACCTGCTGAATGCTTCTGCAAGGGGCAGGAGCACCAGCCCACTCAGGCGTCGCAAGGAAAGCAATGCCCACGACCCAAAGATTCTACGTGGCAACCCTTCAAATGGCACTTGGGAAAATGCATTGAAGATTCTAGAGGAGATGGGAGTTTTTGTGAGCTCCCCTAATAACCCTATGTCCACCTCATGTCAACTCACTGAAGTTAAACTATACCGACTACTGTAGTAAAGCAGAAAATGGAGGCTTGAGCTCCTGCCCCCCAAGCCGCCGGCGGAAACGCACCTTGGGGTCCCCAGGCACCATGGAGAGCAATTTGAGCGCCAGACGGTGATGAAGACCCACCTCCTCGATGGCAAAGGCCAAGAGGAAGTTGCCCAGCAGGATGAAGTTCACCTCGGAGTGACGGACCATGAGGTAACGGTGACCCAACGAAGTGATGCATGCCAAGTGCCACGCGCAGCAAGCCCTTCTGGAACTACAGACTTCCTTGTGGATCCCTTTGTTGAAGCGTTGATGGGCTAGAAACACCGAGTGAACGCGTGGAAACGAAACGTAGCAAGTAGCAAGGGGACTCTTTCTTTTCTAGATCGGCTTAGACTAACATCAGCCACAAATCAGTGGAACAGTGGAACCAGAACCAGGAACCCGTGGCCACGACATGCCACGAAGCTCTGACAAACCTGCAGTGTTCCGGTTCTCTTGCCACGAACAAAAGCCCAAAAACAGCCCAAACGGGACGAGAGAGAGAGATGCTTAAGTGGAGTGCTGGACGATCTCCAATAGAGATTCAAGATGGAGGTTTGAATTCGGTGGCCTCTGTCTAGACGGGTCACCGAATTCATGCTCCTCCAAAGCGGTGTTTCTTGAAGAATGTCACTTGATCCACCTCTGGTCGCTTGAGGACGGCACTGATAGCTGCTATTGTTTGCCTAACATATCCAACACTTGCACCAGAGCCATAGAGAACAAACATGAAGAAACTCTACAAGCCGCACCTTGACGCCTCCCCAAGTCTCTTCACTTAGATAAATAGTGCGTCCATGGTTGCAAGCCTATGACCTGTTTGAGTTATCCGCCCATTCAACCAAACAATCCAGGTCGCATGGTTGAAATATTGATTGTCCAGGGCATATTTTTTGCCACCCACGCCCATCATGGGCAGCAGGATCACTGGAAACATGGCAACCACTGCACAGTGGGGCTTGCCAACCACCCACAAACAGGCCATCAGCACCTGACAGGTGCCGAGCGCCAAAGGAACGAAAACAAGTTTACGAGTCTGAGAGGCTGGAACAAGAGTGAAAAGGGAGAGGCGCCAGAGGCTGTTTGACATCTGTATGTGACTGTTTGACATCTGCACTGTTTGACCTACCAATTACATGATCATACATATTCTGTGTGGTCGGAAAAGAGTCGACCAAGCCCGGCCGAAAAGCCAGGTCAACCCCCAATCCACTTCTACGTACAAAGCTCTAAGGGTTCACGGTTGTTGAAAGCCCACGTCGGGTAATTCCAGCTTATCAGCAACTCCTCTAACAGCTGAAACGCCCCTGCAGAAACTATCACAAGAACATGCCTCCGTCGCACAGCTCAAAAAAGAAAGAAGCGACATGTGTATGATCTTTACAGGGTGTTTCCTTTGCCAGGTTGACCAAGAATTGCTTATGTCCAGATGTTTGATCTCCGACAAGTTAACGCCTTGACCTTGCTACTAGTGCCATCTAGTGCCCAGCCAATACTCTGAACTATCCGCTGCTACGCCACGGGGCATCAAATCAGCCCAGACCGATGAACACGCAAACAACACTGACTGGCGGTCGATTTGGTGGACTGGTACATAAATTGTCTCTTTTGTATTTATCTGTCTCTTTAAAACCAAGATTTCGTACATGGTCCAAACCAACATGTAACATAAACATATTGACGAAATCGTGGATTTAGATCATGTCTGTCTGATGCGGCTGCAAAATTCTGTGGTCGAAACAGGTCGTTTCGCACAGGTCGTTTCGCCCTCTCTCTCGCCCTGCATCCGTTGCGAACACCGAACACCCGCCCGCCAGCCACAACGCCACCGGAGGCACTGTGACGGTGAGTGTGGCATGCCTTTGTGAGCAAAGATCATCCAGTGGATCTGAGCAAAAGAGGTTGAAAGTACCTCACAAGCAGCACGCGATCTCCGCGCAGATCTGGTCATGGATCCAAATGGTGGCATGATCTGGTCGACCCAGCTGGAAGGCGCCTTCAAGCAGGATTCTCCTAATGTTATTCTTCAAGCTAGAGCTGATGTTCGTCAGCGCTCAATCAGTTCATTCCCGCCGTGCTTTGTCGAGTTGGCCTTCCGGATATCCAATCCATTTATGGAAGAGATTGATAGTCTGTACGCGATACCAGGATCTACCTCAGGAATCCACACCCGTCCCAACTGGCTTTCTTCCAAAGAAATAGACGCCCATGCCCGAGAGTGTCTCTGCCACGGAAATGAACTCATGCTCCCTCATAACTGTCATAACTGGGGTTGTATCGAAGACAAAGTCCTTAAGCACAGCTGCAAGGTTGACCCTTTGACCATCTAAGGGCTTGCACTTTATATAATCTGTGGCCCAAGCACCTATTCCATTTGCCCAAGCAACGGATCAAGACGCTGATCACCACCGTGATGGCCAGGGCCACTAGCACCCCCAGCCAGGACCGAAGCGCGGCTTTCCAAGAGCATGCCATGGCTTCTGCGCGGCTTGCAGTTCTCACAGTTTCTGGAACGGAAAAGAATCTGGGCCGGGGTAGAGGACCGTCGAATCAATATTAAATTGGGAGGGTGACTTGGAAGGTCGTGGAAAATGTCTTGCTTTGTATCCTGCTTGAGCCGGATGTTGAAGTGGTCAAGCACAGATAAGAAAGCCTGATCTGATGGCACCAACTTGAAGACTTGTGAAAAGGGTCAGCCCTGTGTGTGTGATGTCATAACGACTCGAATCATATACCCTTCCCAATAGCAAATTGTACTCAGTTCAGCGATTCTGTTCAAATCGTCTGTGTTATTGCAGGTCAAACTGTCAAACTACTGTCTTCTCACCAAAGTCTGCCTCCGCACTGAATGGGGCTCACAAGGGTACGGCTCACAAGAATTACAGCACTGCAAATAATCATATTAAAACGGCAGCACCCACTAAACCTACAAAAGAATACATATGCATCTAATAGCCAACCAGTTGGTTCCTTTCACTAGTTCAGTGACCAGGATCGCCCATCACCGCCGCAATGCCCACGCCTCATAGTTGGGTGTGCTACTCCGCAACTTGAGCACCAGTCCCCCATGCGCCGTGGCGGAGGCGTCGGGAAAGTGGCCGTCTGCCGCTGCCTGGAGCGGACTTGGTCTCTCAATTCGCATGCGGAATGCACCATGCGCAGAAAATAGCGGAAAAGCTTAGCATGCGCCTTAATGAAGCCTGGAGCTTTCAGACTTGGCACATCCAGGACCTGGCCGTCAGGGGAGCGTAAAAAATTGCCCAGCATCGCCGGGCATGGGCTCCAAACCAGCCCAGCCCCATGGTGTACATAAATATCCTTTGGGAGAGGCTATTAATTGCTGTCTTTTTCGTTCGGATCTTCAGGTATTGACACACGTCTACTCTATAAACTTCCATATGTCGAATAAAGGGAACCACCAGGAAATATCATGTTGCCGTGAAAGGAACCCCAAGACCCTTTGCGCCCTCATCCCCAGATACAATTGGCCTGAACATCGAGCCAGCAATCAACCGGTCCAGCCAGTCAAAAGCCAGTCAAGAATCCTGCCAATGGGTGGCTTGAGAAGATCAATGGTCGAGTCCGCCTCCACAAGGGCCACAGTGCCTCACCGTGCCATCCGAGCGCCTCACCCGATCCACCGAGCTGGAAAGCGCCTCACCGTCGAAGATGCCCAACTTCTGCTGCTGATCCACGTGCCAAGTCCCGTGAGACTGGCCGCCCATCACTGGATCGTTGAGCTCCTGGGACGAGTGGAAGGCATGCCATCGCGAAGATGCAGCATGTTTCCATAGAGTGTTGCGGATTTGCATACAACTGGTCCTTTCAACATGTTCAATCCAACGGGTTCACTGCGGTAAGTCCGATACTAGTCGGCGGCCTCTCACCCTGATACTAGTCGGCGGAACAAACACTAAGAGTGGGGAGGTGACAAGGGGCTCGGCTGGGAACCATAAAGGAATACACCAAGAACGACTGGGGTTGCCAGGAGTGTTCTCAATGAGAAGATTGTTTGATCCAACGAACGTATCAGTCTTTTTCCAGCATAGTTTTAATGCTGGGATGCACATAGGGGGGAACATCCCTCCCTCTCCATCCATCCAATGTGGGAATCTGTGCCTTTAAGGCACATATGGCTCTTGGACCGACCATACTCTGCAATCAATAACTTGAAGCAGTGTGGTCAGCGTCCACATGCTGCTCCACAAGCCCAATTCCGTGATCTGGGAGCCGCGTCAAGTTACACTGGGATACTCTTCAACAGATCGTCCATCTTGGTCATCGTCACACTGATGCGTTTTGGTTGTTGGTTTGCGCCTGAACTTCAACCTCTTCAATTGCTCATCTCATGTGCAACCTAGTGGTTCTATGATGACAAACCCAGAAACAAGCTCAGCGGACAACCTGGTGCAGCTCCAACTAAGGTAGCGCACCTTGAATTCAAAGCTGCTCGCAGCTGCTCCATCAAAGGTTGCCAAGGGCACATCCGTCGCGGCCCTCACTGCGACCGCAAGCCATGCCGCGGCCACTGCGTGACGCGCCATCGGTGGGTTGCCCGAGAGGCGGTTGGCGATTTGCGATCGAAGCCCACGGCTTTGGCAGGAAGCTGTGCAGATTTGGCAGGGCTTTGGAGTGCTTGGAGATTCTGCTGCATTTGGGGGATTAGGGTTCATTGGTCGAGGGCTCTCTCAAAGTGTTCTGAACCCAGGCATCTCAAAGGGTCCATTGCTGGAGCCAACGCTTGGAGTTTCCGGCTTCCAGTCGCATCAGAACTGTCAACTGGACAGCAAGAAAGAAGTAAGGATCTTAGGATATGTTAGGATCTTGCCATAAAGATGAACTGAGGACTCTGACCTATCTAACTTGGAGCCTACTACACATGACAAAGGTCTCTCTCACATTCCAAAGGACCGTTCTCTCACCCTTGCAACTCCGTAACGTCTACAAAGTGGAGGAATCCCCGGAGTTGGGGTGGGGCTTAAGCGGCTAAGGGGTTGGAAACATCCCACAAAGTTCAACATAGAAGCTTCCCACAAAGAAGATTGACGTCGTTTCGCATGCAGGTGGACTGCCCGGTTTCGCCGACTCTCCCGGTGCCCCGACTCTCCCGTGTCGGCGGGGCGAAGAGCACATCCCTCAGCGATCGGCCAATCACGGCCCATCAAGTGTTCAGAGTAATACCGGTTACCAGTAGCTTCTTGTTCCTAGTAGTAAGGCCAGGAGCCCCTAGTAGCGTCCTTGCTCCTAGTAGCGATGCCAGGAGCCCCTAGTAGCTTCTTGTTCCTAGTAGGAATGGCCTCCAACCCAATAGCGATGGCCTCCACCTAGTAGCTTCTTGCTCCTAGTAGCGTGACATGTAAGGATGTGACACATGTGGAGCCCGGAATTCAACGACTGTTTGCATTTGGCTATCATCTACTCCAGTGTTGAACTTGCTCGAACAGTTGTCACCCACGGCTTTCGCTTTTGGTGCATCTCGTCACGGTTTCTCATCTGGTCTATACCGTGTCCAGTTCCTTGCGAAGACCAAGCTCTCGTGGTCGACGGTTAACCGTCGGCCATCCGATTGGCTGAGCTCCAGACCGGGACTTCTCACCTGGCCCAACTCAGTTGGTCACCAGCGACCCCACGACAGGGCACGACAATCCGAACGACCCCATGGTTACCTGGGAGACGAATCTCCACCACCTGCTGACACAGCTTCACGCAAAATGCACTTCTCTGAGATGGAAGGTCTCGGCATCGGGGGGTTCAGGAATGAATGAACCTGACAACGACTCAACGCGATCGTCTTGGGCACATGGGCCCAGATGCAAGACTCCTCAAGTCACCGATGGAAAATCCATGCGACTTGATAGTGAATGATCTACTATGTCATCTATCCTGAGACAAAGCCCGTATCATTGCCACATCGTTCATTATTGGACCGAAAACAAGGTTTCCAGCAGGTTCCCAACCACCTTGCGATGGTTTTGGTCCACCTGAACCACATCGTGTCAGACTCGTCATGGTGCCACTGGCTGGATGTCAGACTCGTCCTCCCCGTCCTCTCATCGTCTTGGGGTCCACCGGTCCTCCCCAGGCGCCTGCAGTTCCCCCATCCTGGCGCCATGTTTTTTGTGTGGAACATCAAAGCCAGCGAGCCCTTCGCTGGGTCTCTTTGACTTCACCGAACTGTTTTCAAGCCTTCACCTAAATCTATATCTCGCTAGCTTTCACGTCCCCTCAGAGATCACACACACATGACTTCAGCATTCGCACCAATTCGACATGTCTTCGCGCCTGACTGGCGCGGCTCTCGCGGGCCGCGCGCCGCGCGGCGCGCTCCGCACGGCGTGCCGCCTTGGCATCCAAAGCCTTAGGATGGATGGGGGACGGCGGGAAGTGATGTGCGAAAAATGAATGTCGAGAACCAGCATCTATATCTCATTATTTATATTGTTCTTATATTAAGTTATATTATATTAGGTTGGAGGCCATTGCTATCAGGATGGAGGCCATCGCTATTAGGTTGGAGGCCATCGCTATATCTATGTATGATTCATTATCATTATCATGTGAAATATAATATGTGTATATATCTATATATAATAATCTAGATCTATCTTACCCTCCCAAGTTCCAAAAATAGCAAGCCGCTTAGGAGTTCTCCAGAATCAGAACTTTCTGTACCAAACAATTGATGCCATGTTGGTTTGTGCAGTGACGAGGGTCTTGCAGGTACAAGTCTTTCTCTTATCATGTAGCAAGAAATCAACTGCAGGGTACCACAAACGTTCATCATGGTCCTTTGCAGAACTGGTTGCAATAACGATTGGGGAGTATTCTATATAGGTCAAAACTGGAGTCAACAAACAAAGGTGCATACATGGGTCAATGTGTGATTTGGTGTGACCCAACCATCTGAGTGTTGTTCTGTGATGTGATACCTGAGCTGATATACATCCGCTGAAAGACAGCTCCCCGCATTTTTTACGAATCTCTGGCGGTTGATAGCACATGGTCAATGAGTGTTGCAACACAAATGGAATCAAATGGGATGTTCAAACATGCACATAGCATTCACCCGACCCCCTTCTTCAAGTCCCGACACCACCACCTGGCTGTGCATCACCATCGGTTTGCCATTCCGGGAATCTTCCACTTGCTTTGATGCAATTTTGATAGCTTTGATCCTATCTGCATAGACCGGCATACCACAATCAACAATCCTCACTTTCACTGGCCCTTTTGAGCGGCTGAGTGTCTCGCCTCTGCTTCTGGATCAGCTTCACACTGGCGGAGGTGCGTTGGCGACGCAGAAAATCGTGCGCGTTCGCAGAGGTGCTGTATCAACAGAAAATCAAAAATGGGAAAGCCTGGAGAACGAACGAGCAGGGTTTTATTGTATCCAAACAGCAGATCCAGTATGGGCATGTATGGCCTATGTCTATATCTATATGATAGTGCTCGTGGATCCCTGTGAGAACGAATGGGACCTTGCTACAGTAAATATGTTTCTTTCTAGAAAGGAATGCCTCCAATTTCTAGAGTGCCAAGTTCCATCTACGGTCCGATTTGCTTTAAGCATGTCTTGACTACGTTAACATCTCAGCTATGTTGAAGGACACAAATCCTTGAAGCACGGTAATGTGTTCTTGCAAATTTAGAGCTCTGGGCCTGAGCTTGGTAGGTGAAGGCACCCCCAGCACGTGCTTTGTCTAAGGCCTTGCACGTGGGCAGGTACCCGACCACCGGCGGAGGGAAGACCGAAACTGCTGTGGAAAATATAAACCTACAAACTTAGTGGTAGTTTTCTGTATGAAGCTGATGGAGAGTACTTGGGCTGAAGCAACTCTCAAGCTCTCTTGCCCTTCAAGCCTTGGGCTGACCCCTTCAAACCTTCGAAACGATGGTCAATGGTACAACAGAAGGAAGACATCCAGCACTTGAGGAGTTTGCAAGCTGTTCTAAGAATCAAAAAGAGAAAACATAGAAAAAGAATCAACATAAAAAAATAAAGGAAAAGAAAAGGAAGAAAGAAAGCGATGGCCACCAACCTAATAGCAATGGCCTCCAACCTAATCAGCTTCAACTGAGCACTTCTTTCAACGCCGGTGTCCGTGAACCCATGGGCTCCATTCATTCTTGGGTGTCATTAGCTCCGAGGGCAGCCATTATGTTCCTTCATGCAAGGAAACCGATGCCATCAACAGAGCATGACCCTCATAATGTGATGATGGCGGCATACCATGGAAGAAGTGGGAGACCATTCCGACCCAACCCAATACCCCATGACAACCAGTGGCACTGAGGCCATTGCCTCCCGGAAGGCTTTGTCTTCGCCCAGAGCTTTGAGACGACTCTTCAGGTGGACCCACACCGTAAAGCCTGAACCGAACACGTCCGATGGCGGGCGTGCACAGCCGAGGTTCGATCTTGCAAGCAAACCATCCACATCGCCTGGTTTTTCTGGCCACTTCACCCCGGTTTTCCTGCCCTTTTCTGCTTCCAACTGCAGGGTGCGGGATCTTTCCTTTTCTAGCGGCACGCTCAAGTTCTACAAATTGGGATAGGTGGCGGATGTCTTCACCACGTGGAGGCGTGATGACGGCAGTCATTGGGTTGGTTTTCTTTTTTTCTATGGCGAGCTATCACCCACCCACCCATCCACCCAGTTATGCTCCAGTTTCCTGGCTGAAATTGAAGCTCGGGACCATTGAAGTTGGCCCTGGTTGCTACCCGAAAAGCGTCACATGTCTAGTCCTTCACCAAAGACCTCCAGCCACCCCGATGACCAGCCGCCCAGGATTGGCGGGCCGGGCCCCCCGGCCATGTTTGTGGGCCGACGCACTGAGCTTGTGGAAGACCTTGGGAAGATGAAGATTGTGAGATGAAGATGAAAATGGTGTCTACCCACTCTAATTCACACCCACTCTTTGAGGACACTGCATGTCCACATGTCTCGGGTGTGAGTGAATACATGTCCTTCCCAAAACCCAATACCCATTTTGAATGGTCCAAATACGTCAGTTCTTCTTTGTCCTGGTCTTTTATAGGGTCGGCCGATGGAAGGTGGCCTCCAAAACTATTGGTGGGGGTGAAAGAAAAGGAACCACTACGGCCGACGTTTGGCCGGTTCCCTTTTCAACAAACCCACCCTTCTATGGTTTAGCTTTGATGTCAGCACAAGATTGTAAACTGTTCCTATCAGGTTGCCATACTAACTGCCGCTTTTTCACCCCCTTTATTTTCACCAATCCCTCATCCTATCGTCCATTGTGCAAAGTCAATTGCCGGTCCCTCCTCAAACACCATTTACTGTACCTCCCAAAATACCTTTTGCTCGCGTTGGCCCATCGTTAGTTCATGCTTTTCGCACTTTGCCCATCCAGCGAGACGCATGACATGAAGAATCGTAAAAATAACTGACCCTTTGACTTTCAGCCTCTGAATCTCAATGCTCCCTGGACCTAACTCATCATTATCATTATCATAAGAACCTCACTGCTCTCAACCAGACCCCTGATCCGCCCAAATCATCCAGAATCCGAAAATCCCAGCAAAGCCTGAATCATTTTTTTGTTGAAACCCTATCCAATATTGCACTGGCATAGAACACACAGATAGCAACTGTTATCTCTAGAAACAGAAGCACCTGAGACAAAAAAAATAAGTAAGTCATGAAAAAGTAATAAAAAGTATCCATGAGAACTTCCAGTGACCGTGA